AAGCACTGCGGTAGGTGTTGGGAGGCGCTTTCTGTGGCAACAAACACACGACAACAAAATACACGCGAGGCAACACAACCTGACACACAACCTGCTAGAAGCCGCCAAAACACAAAGACGTGCACACGCGGCTACACACTGCGCGCACGCTCCAGTTGCTTCTCGTGTGGCGCCATCTCGTGGCCACGCGGGACGCAGCGGACACCTGTGGAAACACGTGCACGACTTTTAACTGAAAAAAAAAAAAAAAGTTACACAAATATCACAATGTTGTTGTTTTTCTCATCATGATCCTAAAAGCAAAGGTAGACAATACTGTGACCGTGTTCATCTGTCTGTTAGCAAAATATCTCATTAACCACTGGACCAAGAATAGTGAAATTCACCAATTTTTACTTTTGGAGTCATCCTGATTTAAAATGGCTGCCACAGCTAACAGATAATCAAAAACACACACATGTCTACAGCTCAGTCAGATGTTCAGGTAAGGAGGTGAAACTGGGCGTGGTAGTAGCTGAGAGTCATCCCCAACACGGACTCTGAGTGACATGCTATGATGTATGAACGTTTGCACAGTCAAGTTTTAAATAAAACAACTTTATCTCAACATGAGGTTATCTACACTGGCATGAAAGAACGGCGGGTGATGAGCATTCCTTCATTGCATTTCAGGCTTTTATTTTGAAAGCTATAATGGGATGGAGAACCTCATGTGAGCTGTTAACTCTGACGGTGCAGGATTTGTGCATTTGGTTGGTTTTATTAATATAAATAATTGGATCTGTGTTTAACTCTTGTTGTGTTTTTACTTCCTGTTCAGCTCACCTGTGTCAATTGGCCACGCCCATTCTCATCTGTCACCACTCAGCACAGGTTCAGTCCTCTCTTGGTCCTCAGCAGCAAGGCATTGTGGGTTTATACCACAGTTTTGGTGCTCCTTGTTCTTGGAGTCAGCAGGTGTGTGTGTGTGAGGAGTGAGGGTGTCACATCTAGAGCCATGACATAAAACAGATTCCAGAAAAATTTAATAAACAGATCCATCCATCCATCCATCCATCCATCCATCCATCCATCCATCCATCCATCATCTTCCGTTTGTTCCACAGTTGGGTCTCGGGGGCAGCAGCTTGAGCAGCGAGGTCCAGACACCTCTTTCCACAGCCATCTCTTCTGGGAGGACCCCAGGTGTTCCCAGAACAACTGAGAGACGTAATCGCTCCAGCGTGTCCTGGGTCTTACTGAACAGCAGTGGGCCCCCAATCCCATTCTTGCAGAGCATCCCCCACATAGGGTCTCCCAAGGAACACGGTCGAACACCTTAACCAAGTCCACAAAACACATTTAGACTGGATGGACAAAATTTCATGGTCCCTCAAGGACTCTAATGAGGGTAAAGAGCTGGTCCAGTGTTCCATGGCCAGGACGGAATCTATCATCGATCTATGACCTAGGGCGTCCTGGTGCCACGTGCACTTATGGACAACCTTATGTTCAAACATGGCGTTCATGATGGACAAACTATGACTAGCACAGAAGTCCAACAACAGAACACCGCTCGAGTTCAGATCAGAGGCCATTCCTCCCAGTCACGCCCCTCCAGGTCACACTGTGGGCATTGAAGCCCCCCAGCAGAATAAAGGAGTCCCCAGCTGGAGCACCATCCAGCACTGCACGCTAACAACTCCAAGAAACCCGGATATGCTGAACTGCCGTTCAGTGCATAGGCACAGACCATCATCAGAGCCCGTCCCCCACCCCTCCACCTGAAGGCGCAGGGAAGCTACCCTCTCATCTACCAGGGAAAACTCCAACACACAGACACCAAGTCGGGGGCTAAAAGTAGACCCACACCAGCTCGGTGCCTCTCACCACATGGGCAACTCCAGAGTGGAATAAGGTCCAGCCCCTCTGAAGGAGATCAGTTCCAGAGCCCATGCTGTGCGTGGAGGTGAGCCCAACTATATCTAGACGGTACCTCTCAACCTCCCGCACAAGCTCAGGCTCCTTCCTCACCAGAGAGTTCCATGTGCAAAGAACCAGCTTTGGTAAGCCAGGGTCAGAGCGCCAAGGCCCCCGCCCATGGAGTCATGCACCCGACTCATAAGGCCCCTCCTGCAGGTGGTGGGCCCACAGGAAGGCAAACCCATGTTGCTCGTTTGGGCTGAGCCCGACTGGGTAGAGACTCGGTCACCAGGTGCTCAGCGACGAGCCTCTCCCCCAGGCCTGGCTCCAAGGTGGGGCCCCTGTAAGCAAAGTCTGGGCCAGAGACACAGAGCTCCTTTTTTTTTTTTCGGCCAAGAGTCTTCAAAATCGCTCTTTGTCTGGCCTGTCACCAACCAGTCAGCCTAGGGAGACCCTACCAGAGGCAAATACAACTGTCCCAACAGACCCTGGGACCATTCACGTGCACAGACTCCTTCACGATAAGGTGGCGATTCAAGAAGGAGCATAAACAGATGAGTTTATTAAAGTTTCACGGAGCATTCAGCAGCCCTTAAATAAAATAATATGAATAAACACTAAAACTCAACCTTTAAAGGAAAATGAAGTTTTATTGTGTATTATTTATGCAGATTTTTACTCCAGAAGCAGAAAAAACAGAAAATGTTGTTGTGTTTGGGATAAAGTGGGCCTCAGGTTCTAATGTCGAGCTCACGCAGGGTTCTGCTGGTTCTTGATCCACTTCTTTCCCCACGTCCACCTCTGGAGTTCAGCATTTTTATCGGCCCTCAGGTCGAGGGCGATCCTGCCCGTGTCTGTCCATCTGTTAGCAAAAGTCCTCACAAACCAGATGACGGATTTTAACAAAACTGAAAAAATAAAATGTGTTTCTACAGCTGATTCAAGATGGCCGCCACAACTAACCAACATAAACAAACACAAAAACGGCTGACTCAGTCAGATTTACAGATATTGAGGTAAAATTAGGTGTGGCAGTAACTGAGAGTCATACCTAAAAACGTATTCTGGTCACGAACTAAGGTTGTTTTCAAGTTTGGACCAAAATGGCTACGACTCCATCATCACCAGTTCAAACTGCGGGCGATGTGCAGGCCAGGCCTTCGGTTCATGTGAAGTTTGTTGAATTTGTTTTTTAATCCAGACATGACTTATACTAAAAAAACAGAGATTAATTTAAAATACTACTTTAAAGCATGAGGAAGTACAATTAAACAAACAACAATAAAACAATCAATAAATAAAATGAATAAATAAACGTTTTGGTGAAGTAGCACCCAGAGAAGCAACAGTTCTTAACATCAACCTTTAATCTTCAAACACAAAAGAACCGAACTGACCCTGGATCAGGCGTCCAGTGCTTTTATTCACAGAAAAACAACAAAATAATTAAATAAATTATTATAATAATTAAATAAATCAACAGAAACTCAACGCTTGTCCACAGGAAGCCACCTTGAAGCGTGCAGGAGAACCTCCAGCTGTTTGTGACCCTAAACGCACCATTTCAAATCTTTAAAATCTTTTTATTTTATGTCTAAAACACGTCTGAGTAGTTATGTCTCCAGGAGTCTTTTTTTGTTTTTTACATTTTACGTGTGGCCTCATCGTCTGAAGTTCAAAAAAAAAAAAAAAAGAATATAAATGAGACAAAATAGAATTAATTTAAATTAACATACAGTGTACGTCTTCTGTCTGTTTTCCATTTTTCCGCAGAGCATATTTTTTAAACTGATTTGGAATCAGTAAATTATTTACTGTAAAAGCAGCCAGTGTGACACAAAGTAAAAAAAGATCAAGAGACCTTAATTTACCAGTTTACGGGAGATCAGTTCTAACTAGAGACAGAACTGGAAGACTGAAGTTGAAGCCAGGCAGGACACGCCCCCTTGTGGCAGGCTTCAGTTCAGTTTGTAAGCTCCGCCCCTCCATGTAAACGCATGGGACATTTTCTTGACAAAAAAAAAAAAATAAATAAAAGTTCAGATCATTTTGTTCAGGAGTTGATTTGTTCAGTTCTCACCTTATTGTTTGTTCAAATATGTGTTTTAAAGTAAAAAGTTAGACTGAATTAGTTTTTTGAGGCCTAAAGAAAAGGTCATGTGTGATTGACAGCCAGTCTGTGAGTTTCCTTTCATATCGAGGGCTCAGAGCAGACTCTGGCTCCAAAAATACATTATTTCAGTTCCCCAACATAAAACAATCATTTTGGCTTCAGATCTTAATAAAGATGGAAACAGTTCATCCATTTTAATCAATGGGCTTCTTTAAAACCCCTCCCAGTTTCTACTGGACCAGAATCAGGTCTCCCTTATACAGACCGGTCCATCACAGGGTGGACGCAGAGACGGACCTCTGTTCGGATTAAAATCATCAGTTGATGCAACATTTAGGTCTTTGGATTCCAAAATAAATATATCTAAATTAATGAGGACAATGGATGCAGAGCGACCAATGTGAGGAGGAGACAGGGACGTCTGTCCTACAGGGAGGAGACAGGGACGTCTGTCCTACAGATCAGGAACTTCAGCTTTTTAGAAAACAGACTTTGGTGGGAATAAAAAGTGTTTAATACGGTTCCTGTACAGAAAGTGTCAACTCAACGCCTCTGTTTGTTCCAGGTTTTTATCCATTTGATTGATAAACCCCAAACATGGACCGTCCTCAGAGCTGCAGACCATCTCTCCAAGTATCCACAGCTTTGAGGACATGACTCATCGATCACCAACCCTCTCATGAAAGGCCAGAGACCATCAGACTCTACCAGCAGACTCAATGAGGGCCCACAGCTCTGAAGGTGACTTCAGTGGACCACCCTCAGATGGTCCTCAGAGCTCAGTGACCCTTTCACTGAGGGTCTGCAGCTCTGAGAGCATGGCACTAACGTGGACCTCCTTCAGACCGTCCTCAGAACTGCAGACCTTCTCACTGAGGGTCTGCAGCTCAGAGGATGTTAGGCTGCACCTGTGGACCATCCTCAGAGATCTTGAACCTCTCAATGAGGGTCCACAGCTCTGAAGACTCGACTCCAACAGTGGACCACCCTCAGAGCTCGCTGACCCTCTCACTGAGGGTCTGCAGCTCCTCTTCCTTCTCTCTGTAACGTTCCAGTCCAGGATCCACCATGTTGCGGGACCCGTTCAGGAGGTTTGTGGGGTAGTCGAGGCCGCTGAGCTGGGCGTGGTGGAGCCAGCGCAGGTCGTCGCTCTCGTGGGTGATGTAGCGCTCGTCCATTCGAGTCTCCAGGGTCCTCAGGTCCAACCACATCTGATAGTCCTTGTGAAGAAAATAAACACACTTTATCCTTCAGGACTGTGTAGATTATCTTCAATGTGAGCAAGAAGCAGAAGGTGCAGCTCATCTGGGCCTTAACGAGAAGTATTTTACCCAGAGATGAGTTAGAGACGCTCAACCTGAGAAAATACCTCAACATTCAAAACATTTCTATAAACCACGCATCCATCAACTGATCTGTTCCTCTGGACCAACCACCACGCCCTCAGTACTTCATCACTCATCAAGCCACGCCCACCTCCTGCAGCTGCAGTCACTCTGCTCATCGGTCCGTGCCTCTGCCAGTCATCCTCCACACATCAGCAGCCCAGGATTGGTTTCAACGCCACAGTTCAGTCTCCTTGTGCTCTGTTGATCTTGTAGTCCCTCACTACTTCGCGGTTCGACTTTCGCGGACTCGCTCTTGCGCGTTTTTTTTTTCAACGATTGTCAGCTTTAAAATTACTCACGTGATCGGGATATTATGGGATAAAAAGTTAACGAAAAAAATTTCGGACAGGCACTGCCATTTTGTAGTTTTCCTTCAATAAGCCTATGCTGTAACTACACTACCCAGAAGTCAACAGTGCTTCCAGCCGCTGCTTTCTGCCGAAACGGAGGGAAAGTTTTGCAACACAAATCTACGCAAGTCGCAAATAATCCTGACACTCCCTGAAATTCAATTCTCCACACGCACATCAACCTGGACGGGGCGGTGGGCTTCGTCGTTGCAAGGTGGGTCTGCAGAACCGGAACCGAGCTGCTGCTGTCCTGCAGAGCTGATGAGTAAAAGTTTGTAGCACTGTACAATACAAACAGTTGAAACCAGAAGTTTACATACACTATTTAAAAAGACTTGTGCATTTTTTTCACACTGACGTGAAATCAGAATAAACTTTTCCCATTTTAGGTCCATTAGGGTTACCATAATTTTTTTTCTATTTGCAAAATGGCAGAATAATGAGAGTGAAAGTGTTTTTAAATAGTGTATGTAAACTTCTGGTTTCAACTGTATGTTGTTAAAATTATGTAGGTTTAAGAGTTTAGAACATTGCAAGAGTGTGGGAAGGGTTTATAAAGCCTTAAAATATATAAAAATACTCAAATAAAGATATTTATTTACTACTTCGTGGTTTTTCCACCCACCGCAGTGTTTGGAACGTAACCCCCGCGATAATCGAGGGACCACTGTACTGATGCATCCACAGCCTGACTGATTCTGTTAGAAACATTTATCTTTGGATTTCCTTGTCTGCATTCTGGGTCTAAACGAATGTGGGGGATTAAACAAGGAGATTTAGTGAAGTTTTTTTTGGGGGGTGGTAGGGTGGGGGGTGGTGTTTAAAGGTCAGAGTTCACCAGGCAGACTAGCTGCAGAAACTAACAGAAGCACCAAATTGTCAGGATCCATGTTTTTGTTGGCGTGCTCATAGACGTTGTGTTTGATCAGATTTGTTTGTGTCTGATTCACTCTCGTGTGTTTTCATGTTTCCAGTTTTCCCTGCGGGCCAGTATTCACTTCTCCACAGTTAGTTGTCCGCTCTCACCTGTCGTCTCTTCCCCAGGTGTTTCCCTCAGAGTTGGTGTCCTGTTTGTTCCTGAGTCCTGCATCGTGCTGTTCACAGCAGTCACGGTTTCCTCCCGGCTGAGCCTCTTTGACTTCTAGTGCTGCGTTTATTTAGTGAGTAGTTTTGCTGCCTCAGCAGCCCTTTTCTTTTATTTATTTAATAAATAATTTTGGCAATGTGGGGTGTTCTTGTGCGCTGCCTGCATTCTAGGTTAACACTTCCAACCCTGACACAAATGTCTTTCTCCAGCCGTGTCGCCCAATTTGTTTTTCTCTTCAATGTCGCTTCAGGGCCAAATGGTCATGTGACTTACAACAAAGCTTATTCTCCGTTTTACAAAAATATAAAACCATACAAACTACAAGGACAGCTTAAACACCTGACATGCACCCATACGCAATGATCGAGTCCAAAAGGCAGAATGAATCGGTACCACAGGAAGGAAGGGACTGCTGTGTCCCGTAAAAGATCCTAAACATGTTCACTGTGTAGGGGATAATTAGGTGGCCCTGAGGTGTAAAAGAACAACATTTGAAAAAAACAGAACTACATTTGAAAAAAAAAAAAACCAAAACACAACAACATTTGAAAAAATGGAATTAAATTAAGCCAAAGCAGAAGTGGCCAAAGCAAGAAGTGGACAAAGTGGAAGTGGACAAAGTGGAAGTGGCCAAAGCAGAAGTGGACAAAGTGGAAGTGGACTAAGCGGAAGTGGCCAAAGCAGAAGTGGACAAAGTGGAAGTGGACAAAGCGGAAGTGGACAAAGCAGAAGTGGACGAAGTGGACAAAGCGGAAGTGGCCAAAGCAGAAGGGGACAAAGTGGAAGTGGACAAAGTGGAAGTGGCCAAAGCGAAAGTGGCCAAAGCAGAAGTGGACAAAGCGGAAGTGGACAAAGCGGAAGTGGACAAAGCGGAAGTGGACAAAGCGGAAGTAGACTAAGTGGAAGTAGACAAAGTGGAAATGGCCGAAGCAGAAGTGGTGAAAAAACGGAATTACGTTCAGCCAAAGCAGAAGTGTGTTTTTTTTTTGTGCTTTTTTAAAACTTTATTAACAAGATAAAAGAGAACAACCGAGCAATGTACAGTAACCAGATACAAATACAAACTCTCATGAAGGGTGTGCGGTCCGTGTACCTTCGTTCAGTTGGTTTTTAATAGAGAACCAAAACAAAAAAAAAACCTGTTTCATTATTCGTTTTCAAGAGGGATTCACTTTATCCTTTATCCTATCCACTTTATAAAAAAAAAAAACACTTCCAGTTTGGCTTAATGTAATTCTGTTTTTTCAAATGTTGTTCATTTACGCCTCAGAGCCACTGTAGATAATTGTGAGAAACTGTCAATAAACATCAAATATGGGTGAAGTTTTCCTAATTCTAAAGAGTGTTTCGAACAACGGTGAAGGCAGTTGGAGTTACTGAATAATAAATAACAGCTACACAAGAAATTAAAGCTCTAAATAAACACAACACGTCAACAAACAGAAGTCATATAGAAGTTTTATTGTTCCTACTTATCAGAGACCCCTTTAAATATGGCAGAAAAATCACGGTTCCCATCTACGTAAACATCCAATCGTTAGCTTGGAGTAGAATAATAATAATAAAACTTTGTTGTTTTATATTGAATTTGTTCTTGTGGGGGATAATTTCCCGTTTTTTTAATTGGAGATTGTGCTCAGCAGCATTGTATCTCTGTATATATCTCAGTCTCCATAGTTCAGTCCCTTTACGTATTTAGTAGGAGCTTTGAAGCTTTTTTTTTTTTTTGGCTGCTTCCTGTTGGCTGACATCTTACCTGTAACCAGGGGTGACTGAGGGTCTTATCCACGCTGTACCTCTTCCTCATCTTCACCTGCAGGAGGTTGTTGATCAGGTCAATCGCTGCACGGAGGGAAACACAGAACACACGTGCATCACGGCTACTTTTATCACCATTATGCAATACAACTCTTCCAGTTATAACTGTCCGGATAAATGCCTCTATGAGTCAGTCTCACATTTGACATATTTAAAATCACAACAGGTTTAACTTCAAGCTCCGTGTTTTATCTCGGAAGCAGAAGTTTTTGTTCTCGTGGGCCGGAGCGGCGTCATCCATGAAGCTGGGCTGCGGATCTCATGACGCTCGAGGCGTTTGATTCTCTGACATTTAATCCTCGGAGGGGATTTAGGTTTTATTTTCCAACATCAGCTTCGCGTTTCTTTGGCAGCGTGAGGAGGTGGATGGAAAAGTGCTGCGGGGACGTGAGTCAGGCTGAGAAATCAGTCTTGGAGTCGACAGAGTGGACACTTTTAGAGCGTGAGTCACTCCGAGCATCAAGGCTTCAACTTTCTCAGCAGTCAGACGGAAACATCACATTTATTCACATTTAAGGATAAAACATGTTTAATCGTGATCCCACTAATCATACAACAGGCTGTCGCCCACCGCTGAGGCTTTGTGTTTGATGTCTGTTAGCAAAATATCTCGTGAACCAGATGACAAAATGCAATGAACTCTGGACAAAAAGTAATTGTTGCACATCTACCGCTGATTAACTTTTGGGTTCAAGCCACAGCAACCTGACTTTAACAGAAATGGCCGACATTTTTACAGATATCGGGCTAATGCTTAATTTGTAAACCAAACAATGCCCCGGAATGCAAATGGCGAGGGGAGGGGGGGTCTGTGGCTCCTCCCCCGCAAATTTTTTGAATAAAGTAGATGCAATTTCCTGCATTCTGGTGTATTTCAACGGGTTGTCAATCATCTACATTTACCTACATAAATAAACACTTGATTCAATAACTATGTTAGAGAGCAATAAAAAGCCTGACCAACAGCTCCCCTTGTGTGAATAGACGTTCCGCTTCTCTCACGCTTCCTCACACCTGCTCCAGTACTATCTCCATTGCCTCTGCCTTCATGTGTTTTAATTCTGTTTGCTCATTTGTACAATGAGAATACTTTTTTTTTTTAATGAAAGTAAATTGGAATGTCTTTTCGACATTTTGATCGCTGTTATTTTGAGAAATTGGCGCTGCTGTTTTGATACGTGATGTACGTAACGTGATTACCCATCAAACATCTCTCTTGTATTTTTAACAATAACATTTTTATTAATGGCCCACTTAAACTGTAAAACTGATTTTCAATTCAGTTGTGCTGATTAATTATATTTTTATGCTTTTAATTAAATTGCCCGTGACTGAACTTTTAGGGGTGGATAAAAAAACTGTAGTATGAGTTTTTATAACTGCTTATTGTTGTTGCTGTTGTCCATTGTTGTCATCTTTCTTTGTTGAAATCAGGTCTCTCTTGTAAATGAGTCCTCGAGGCTCAATGGGATTTACCTGTATAAATAAAGGTTGATTGATTTAAGGGTAGAAGTGGAAATGCTTACTTGAAGGGTATGTGGTCTTAAGAAGCTCGTAAGTGGCTGTTGTGTTTAAAATGAGTGTTTATGTAATTATTTTCAAATTATATATCCAATATAAGTTTTATTCACTCAAGGCAGTCAAATTTGTTCATAATTTGATTATTAGTAAGCCTGAGAGTTACCAGATCCAAGCAAACAGTTACTGGAACTCATCCTGTCAAAATAAGAGAGTTCCTGGATCCTCTTCCAGCAGGATCCAGCTGAAATTAAGCTCTGTATTGGACTAATATTGAACGTGGCAGTAGCTGAGTCATTCCCAACAAAGACTCTGAAGATCGTGCACAGTGATATTTTAAAGGTTTGACTTTGACTCCATCATTTCTCGTCTTTGCATAAAACTGATCATGCACCAACGTTTCATTGAGCCGTTTCAGTTTTGGGTCGGGTTCCTTCCCCGGGTTTCACGAGTCCTGTTCATGCCGCATTTCATGTTTTCACCCGGTTCTGCAGGATTCTCCAGCTCTTCAGCGGAGGTACGTACCTTCCTGAGAAACTTTCTTCCAGGGGTGAGGGGGGTACATGAAGGCTGCGTTCTGGATCTGATCGTTGATGTCTTCATCCTCGTTGAAGGGAAACGTCCCGCTGAGGCTGCAGATTGAAACGATATCCAGATTTACTTTCTGCACCTTTATCCAACACCTAACATGACCGAGCTTCTAGAACGACGCTTCAAACCAGTTTAGCTTCAGAGAAGACGCTCTCGGTGCGTGACGTGGTACCTGACGTAGATGATGACTCCGACCGACCACATGTCCAGGGACCGGTTGTAACCTTTGTTTCTCAGAACCTCCGGAGCCAGGTACGCCGGCGTGCCGACCACCGAGCGCCTGAACGACTTCTCACCGATTATCCGAGCGAATCCAAAGTCGCAAAGCTTCACCTGCAGCGAGACAGCCGACATCTAACTCCACTTTGCTTCTCCTTTCAGACGCGTGTCTGCAGCTTTCTGTGGCCATAAATTACTTGGAACTGAATATTTATATTTAGAAGCATCTGTAAAAAGCTCATTGTAGACGTTCTGTCCACTTTTCTGCAACACAACCGTTTGAAGACTTTGGTAGCTGCTTCATTAATTTATCTTCCAGCCTCACGGTGAGATCTGTCTCTGAAATTCAACATGAACACGTTTATATCTTTATTTAGTCCTAATGATACGATAAATGTCAGTAGTTTATTTTAGTTCTTTAACTTCAGAATAAAAACTCACTTTTATTATACGTTGTTATTTAAATAAAACACAATGTGTTTTTTTTTCATTCAACCGTTATCCTTAAACCTTAGCTCCAGTTTTTTTTTTTTTACAGGTTTTGCAATTCTGAACTAATTTTATTTAGTGGGAAAAGAGCAGAAATGATTCATTTGATTGAAAATCTTCTCTTTACTCCTCAGCTGCTCATTAACCTCACCTGCTCACCTGTAATCAGCTCTCTCCAGTTAAATAGTCCTCAGCTGAACTGCCTCCGTTTCCCGCTGGTCTTTAGCTCGTGTTCTCTCCTGTGGGGCTTTTATTTTAATTTTGTTTCTACTCACCACACTTTTCCTTTCCTTCATTAAAGTTTAGGTTTTTAAGGTTTTCCTGCCTTTACGGCTGCACTCTGAGGTCTCCTAATAACTCGATGTGATGTCACAGATCCTAAAGAGTCCCTGTGATCGTGAACCGAGCCTCAGATATGCTCGTGCAGTTTGTAGAAACAGTACCTGCATGCACAGATGATACCTGAGGGAAAGAGTCTGCAGAAGCCAGGAGCACATTTTCAGGTTTCAGGTCGCAGTGAACGATGTTCTTAAAGTGGAGATGACGCAACGCCACGAGAATCTGACGATCAAACACAACAAAAATAATAAACGAACGGTGTCTGAATAAATAACTGTTCTGTTTGAACAGTTAACGACGGAGCCAACAAAATGTTTCTGAAGGAACTGATCTCTGTAAAAATCCAAGTTAAATATTTCTGAAAATATAAAAGTTAAAAATCCTAAAACCATGGCGCCTGATCAAACTGAACCTTTTTGCAGGAGAAACACGGGTTCAAACCAAACAGGAAAACAAACATTTAAATGCTGACTCTGCATTTTTATTACTACAAAATTAAAATATTCAGAGGTCATAATGAGTAACAGAACACAATGAATTCTGGTAAAAACACACATAACCCAAAAACAATCATTTAAAAAACATAAAAACAATATACATTTCTGATTAAACCCCGCCCTCTTTTGGTGGGAGGAGTTCAATATCTGGTCTGACAGGAAGTGAAGGCTTACCTGCGTGACAAGGAACTTGGTGATCCTCTCGGGCAGCCGACCCTTCTCACTGGACAGGATCATCTCCAGCATGTCTCCATGGAGCTTCTCCATCACCACAAAGACCCGCTCCGGGGTCTCGAACATGCACTCCAGGTTCACCACGCCCGGGTGGTGCAGGCTCTGAAAGACAAACGCACCCCTCCATGGGTCGGCAGGAGCTCTGAACAGAAACTGTCTTCCATGAAATGTTAAATAAATATTTAACCTGTAGAAGCACAGAGAGACGATCTGAGAGGAAAACTTCAGCTGATGTTCAAACCTTCTCACTCTGAAGGAACAATGCTAACCACGGCTCCACCTTCAGCTAGTTGGACTTGAGTTGATGAAGATTCCTTAAATAAACTTCTTGCTGAGTGTGGACTAGCTAAATCTAGCAAAAGTCAGCCTAAAAGTTAAAAGTAGCAAAATGTTTGCTAAAAGCTAAAAGCACTAAATTCAGAGGTAAACACTTAAAACAGAACAAAGAGACAAAAAGAGCAACGAACAATTTTCATGGAAGAGATCTCAGTGCATTTCTATGGTAAAAAGATTTGTAAATAAAGTTAAATATTTAAACATTTTTAAACATTTGACAAAAAAAGCCTCAAGTCAGCAGCTGTTTGTATCAGCTGAACATTTTGCCACATGAACAGCTAAAAAAACACGAGGTCTGCACAAGTGTTTGGTTCCAGAAAAACAAAAAAAGTGTAAAGTCCAACTCAGCGTTTAGATCAGAGGAGTCCAAACATTTTCATACGTGAGCCAAAACTAATAAGATGGAAGGACTCGTGGGCCACAAAAATGTGAATTTCACTCAACGTGAACAATATCTTGGAGAAAGGACAAAAAATATTAATTTTGGTGGAGAAAGAGTTTTAAATTGTTGTAGATCCAAAACAGTAAAAGCCTCATAAATAATAAACTTTTTTATTAAAAAGGATTTGATTTATTTGGCTCTGTGTTTGTTCTCTTGTGTTTGTAAAGTTCATTTTAGTCAGTTCTCAGCAGTAAAAGTGTAATTCGAGTAAGTGTCCGTTTAAAAGGGAGTCCATCAGCCTTTTGGACCGCGCACTGGCTGATCGAAGTTCTGAAAAATCGTCCAACTGTCAGTTGCTACAACAGATTCAAAGAAGGTTTCATAAAGCTGATCAACTCGTATGTAGATGATACCACGTTATATTCATTTAAAAATGTCCAGTTTCCCCCTTGATTATTTTATCAACTAATATTTAGCCAAGTTTTATGAATCATTATCCAAAAGTCTCCTTTCTGGTAGAAATCACTAAAGGTTTTTGGTGCTTGGTACCATGAAGTGAAAATAAAAAGATTATAGTCAAAGGTTTGTATTTTATTTAATATTGCTCATTTTGAGAAGATTGCTTTTCATCTGTTTTGCTGTTAAACCTAAACATTACATTAAAAAAAAGATTACCAACGAATTTTCAGAAAGTCTGCATCGACCTCATAAGCCTGCTGGACAAAACAATACCATTCTTAAACTGCAGTTGTGGGCCGCACAAAATCACTCCCAAGGGCCACAAATGGCCCTCGGGCCGCACTTTGGACACCCGTGGTTTAGACATTAAGGGAGGATTGTGTTGGATTGTTTCTCTCCTCTGAGCTCTGAAAGGCAGTTTTTAGTTTATTAAACGACGCTGAGCAACACGTTCTGTCTGTTTACAGAAGCTGTTTGATCATTTTGAGATTATTCATGTAAAAATAAGCTGGATAGTGTTTGTGATTTGATTTTGAGGGGGCGGAGCTTAGCAGCTTACCATACCACATTACTGTTTCTGTTTGAGTCAGCATTTTTTTTTTAAACTAAATATATTTTAATTCTTTAAATGAACCCAACAGTTTGTACAGAGTGAAACGGCAGGAAAAACAAGCAAACAGCAAAAAAAAAAAAAACAATCTAATTAAAACAACTTGGTGGATTTGATTTATTTTTGTGTCTCGTTGGAACCCGAACCTGCAGGATGGCCACCTCGTTGCGCAGCTGACTCTCTTGTTTTGTGGGGAAACGAAGTTTATCGATGATCTTGATGGCCACGTCCCGACCAGACTTCCTGTGTTTACCTGTGAGGAATAAAATAATTTAATTTAAGCTCTAATATTTTACTCTAAACCTGCTCAGCTGAAGTGAACTGATGTTTACTTTGTCAGTTGGGTCATTTTATTCTCCCTGCTCCTGTTAAGCTCAAACTACCCAGAAATGAGCAAATACTTGTTCAAGCACAAGACTAAGGATTATCTCTGTGTGAAATAATGTTAAATATCGTACCTCCATAAACAATCCCAAACTGTCCAGAACCAAGAACCTCGTCAGGGAAGATCTGATAAACCGAGTTGATGTCCTGGAAAGCAGGCCGACACAGATCAGTGGTGATCGATCAACGCTACGACAAATAAACACATTTTTATTAGAATAAAGAATGACAGCGTCTGAATGTGCCTGTCTTCATTTTTAAAGTACCCTCCGGTAGATTCAATCATCAATGTGGGGGCGGACAGCTAAATAATGTGCACAACACTGAATAAACTGGGATTATTTTCAACTCTCCTGTGAGAGACCAGCAGAGACCAGAAGGACCTCTCCTCTGGACCGGGCAGCAGACCCACAAACACCCAAACCGCTTCCTCATCGTGGACCTAAAGCTGAAAGTTTCAGTTTACAAGTTAATAATTTGTGCTAATATATAAAACACAAGCTGACAGGATGTTGCCTCCGTTGAGTGGCTCTGAGCGGAGCATGCTCGGTGTAACCACAATGTCAGCGATCAATGACAGCTTTGACACTAAAACTGGAAAATATTTTCCACTTCATTTGTCTATAATCACTCTCACTTCTCTCTGTTCACAGACAGCCTAATATCACACCTCGAGCGAAGATGACAGAAATACAATATTATAAATCTCCTCCCCCTTCTCAGAGCTCGCCGTCTAATTACCATGGTCTCCATGGAAACCGTTTGGCTGAGTGAGTAATCACAGTAATCTCCATCCGAGGCGCTCGACTACTCGCTCACCTTGGAGGTGGTGAGGTGGAAACATGACTTGATGTTCCCGGCAGCCTTTGAGCCTCATGTTAATGTTCCCGATGTAAATTTGTTGTAATTACATCAGCCTCCTCTGAGCTACAAGCTGACAGGCTGCAAAAACAAACCATGGTAGCTGGAGACAAACAGCATGCTGGTCATGACGTTGGGACGGTTTGTACCAGAATTCAGCTGAAACTTCAGCAGCTGAGTCCAGGAAGACGGGTGTTTCTTTACAAGTTGTAAAACTGATTGTGCAGAAACAGGATGAGTCTTTCAAGATCCTCTGTACAGAGCCAGAGGCGACCTGGGGCTCCTCACACTGTTATACCAGTCACTTTATCTTAACGGGACCAAAGTCCAGTCTCATTATGGTGGAACATCACTTTGAGGTTAAGAGTTGGTCAAAGACATGAAAGGTTAAGAGTTAGGGTCAGGGTTAGGCTGCAGAAATTAACGAAAGACAGCACAACACCCTTATCAGGATAGAAATACAAACTTGGGTTTGTGACCATATACTGTATATCTAGACCTCAGAGCTGAACCTGAAAGCTGAAGGGACCGGCTTCCCTGCAGGATGGATCCATTACAAGTTTAAAGACCTGCCCCCTCCATGTTAAAAAACCCCCAAAAAATTTAACTTTCATTAAAAACACATAACTCAAATAAGTGATTCTTGTTACTTTTTTCTCACATGTTTAACTGTAAATGGTTATTTCATGTCTAAACGAAAGGTCATGTGACACCTTGATTGTGCTGAGGTGTAGGCAGAGCTTAAAGACCCACATCCCCTGTGCACAGATTCTGGTCCAAAACTAGAACATGGCCGCTCCTGTAAACTGGATCCTGCTGGCAGCCAGAGAAGGTGGGATTGCTTGTTCTAATATATTCAGTCAATGGTGCGGACAGACTGTTCGATGATCCTGCAACCATTGCTCCACACTTGTTGCCATGACTTGTTGTTTTGAAAGCAAGTTAAATAAATTACAAACCCATTCTGGATCGAAAAACGGCTAAATCAGACCGTTTGTTTTACTGCTGAATGTTTGGCAACAAGTGTAAATCAGCTAAACTAAGAATAAATCAACTTTAGCTGCAGCATTAGCTAAATGCACCTGACTAAACTAAGAATAAATCAACTTTAGCTGCAGCATTAGCTAAATGCACCTGACTAAACTAAGAATAAATCAACTTTAGCTGCAACATTAGCTAAATGCACCTGACTAAACTAA